CTCCTTCCGAAGTGAACCGGATGGCGGCGTGGGCCTTATTGAACGCTTGTTGGGTCGGTTCCATCTCGTTCTATTGTTTAAAATCGCAGAATTGTCCTCCGCGTGTTGGCGGTAGTATTGTGTCTTCTCTATGCTAGCTTTGAGGAGACCATTTTAAAGTTTGCCCATGAAAATGTCAGCTAGTATCGGACCCAGCGGTTAGCCCGCAGCTACGCCACCAGTCTAACAGCAGAACTCACCATTTAAAAAACAGCTGCACATTCAATGTGTATCGCAAGATGAGCCCTCAAAATCCCTTGACTGGAATTAGCAATTGAAAGTCGTCTTCTTCTATGCAGTTATATAAACAGTGTTTTATTTTTATATCAATGTGAGCCAAGAAGTGTACAGCTGATACGGTATCACTTATAAGGTTGACGAAGGGGCATCAATAAACCATCACCGGTTTTACCCCCTCGTTCCTGCTCGGTGTTCCCCAGTTCTTGTCATATATAAAGGCCGAGGTCCAGTTGAATCAAGTTAAAAAGTAATTTGGATTTTACGCTAACATTGCCTCGTCTATCAATCGACTGTCCGGATGGCGAATCATCAGTTGCTCGCAAACATTCGGTTTCCTATGAAGTAAACGTTTCTGCAACATGAATTTCTGAACGGTTTTATTTGCCATCTAGAAACTACAACGTGATTTTCTACTTTTGTCTCATCAGGAGACTAATTACAAAAGCACCGAATAAGGATAAATATTCTTATTGACCGATCGCACATAGCTTTACTGGCCTGTACAAGCAATTATCTAATTTCCTCTTTATCTGGACTACGAAGGTACTTCTATTCCAAAGCGAATTAGATTCCTACTCCACAGGTCCACGTAAAAGACTGAAATATATAACAGCATGGTTCCTTTGTTGTGAGTCTCTTCAAAATCCGGTTTTATTGTAAATTTTCTATGAATATTCTGTAATCTAGCGCTCCGCTTATGCGTCCAATTTCATAACTGAGAGCTGCGTAGATCGGGGATGCTTTTTCCGATAAATGCACTTTCCGTTTAGATGCTTCTGGAGTAGTTCAGTATTCTCATGCATTACTTCTGCGTGTACGTAGTAGTGATTTGAAACGGGTCAAAACTAGGGATATTCAATCGGGTACCTAATTACAACTGACCAGCAACTGTCATATTCTCCAAACGAAAATGGCTTACAGGGAGGCTTATGTTCAAAGAATGCTATTAATCTTCAGGGGCTTGGATTAGAAACTATCATGCTCAGATGTGGGTTGATTCGCAGGTGGCTGGAAACCATACTGACTTACATGTATGTACGTAATATTGACCCCGGATAAAAAGTTTCATACAACGTGATATGGTCTTGAGTGACTTTTTAAGTACTTTGTTGGTGAGAATGTGTCAGTATGGCGTCTGTGACATGGTACGCCTTTCAGGCCCGTCACTCACTTTCCAAGTAATGAAAAACATTCCGAGGTTTTGGCTGTGGGTCGGGACTCATCTGTAATGTTCGTCCTAAAGAGTTGGGACCAATATTCCAAAACGGTACGGATGTCTACTGTGTACCTGTATAAAAAAACCGTACCAACTACTAAATGTCATGTGCACCTGTATAGTACGGCGTTTTTGAAGCTAATTATCCAATCACATTCTTTGCGTCTATCCGTGCGCCATCTCACAAGCCTTAGCTACAGACGCCTTGCTTTGCAGTACTCTTTTTTCGTTTCACAAGAATTTTCGACGGTGATGCTCACACCAGTTTTTTCTCCAAATCGCAGTGGGAATTATTGGGAGCTGGCATCTTTATGCTTACTTGTAATAATAAAAGGTACAACTGCAATCGCTGGGAGATGAGACTCGCGGTGGGTCACCGAGAGTTGAAGTCCCGCGAAAAATTTTGTCATACTCAAGGAACCCTTTGTTTATTTAGGTTTCGAGGCCAGGAACATAAATGGTTCGAGTGAAAAATCCGATTATTCCAACTGCACACGTTTAATAATGAAAGCCTCAATCACGTATTCTTGACCCCTTTGAAACAGGACCCGGGATTTCGGCGTTCGTTGATCAACCATTTGAGGCCTACAAAAAGTTAGAGGAGCCACTGAAAGCATTGGTTGCTAACTTGTCAGAAGAAGAACGAAAGAAAACTCCAGTATACTTGGCCGCCACGGCGGGGATGAGGTTGAAATTGTAAGTAGAAATCACGTCTCCATAAAAATAGCATAAATGGATCTTTCTTTCCTCGCAATAACTTTCATGTTTTCATATCAAAATTATTAAATTTAAGGATACACATTGTGTTTCCCCTTACGTATCCCACAATGAAATAACGATCAACTGGGGTCTGCTTCGGTTGTAATTTAGCTACGGATATTCGGCGAGCGCCTCTGAACGGTAGGATCTAAGTATAGGAGCCCCCATCCAACCTCCTCATGCGGCACTTTCTGTGGCCACAACCACGTTAATTTTTTCAATTATTATTCACATTTTGGGAAATACTGGGGCCATACGATATTCGCTAATCGGGCTAGCGAGAACAGATTGATTGACATGCCTTGGTGGATCCCCATAATCATACGAAAGTTAGAATTTCTTAGAAACTGATGTTTGGACTGGATTTCGTCACAAACAAGCTTCTTTCACATACTCATTTTGAAAGTGAATAGTGGTCGCTGTGCAGAAAAGAATTACGGTTTAAAGTAACGAGTGAACAGAAAAATATGCTCCTTTCCGTAAGAGACTTACCTGGAACCCACGTGAATCTCTCGTTCATGGTGTCCCATGAAAATGCATTCCGCTAATTCCATGCAATTCGGGTTTAATTGAAGCATAAGGTTGACAGAAACTCGGGAACTCGGAGTCACAAAAAAGGCAAGACCGATCATGGGCTTTCGAATAGTTTTCAGCAAGCTCATGAGTCGCGTATTATGTCTATACATAAATCGCGATGTTTTGTAGCAACTGAAGCCTGAGGTAGCCTGATGCAGACCGATCATGGGCTTTTGAAGAGTTTTCAGTAAGCTCATGAGTCGCGTATTACGTCTATACATAAATTGCGAGGTTTTGTAGCAAGAAGCCTGAGGTAGCCTGATGCAACACATTCTGTTGATTAAACATTTCAAACAATAGATTCAGGCGAGTCTCACGTCAAGACCGAAATGGTGTAGAAATGAATGTTGTTAGCTAATTTCGTGTAGTTTGAGCTTAAGTAGAACATAAGGTTGACGGGAACTCGGGGACTACGCCAACCTGATGAGCCCCAGGAAGGGCGGAACCGGTCGTGGGCCGTCGAAGGGTTTTAGCAACATTATGAGTAGTTTATTACGTCTGTACGGGTAACCAATCTAACTAAAATACTTTTGAGCCCTATTTCTTACTCGATTGAGTATCTGATGTCATTCAAATTGATCTCCTTCCAAAACCGAATTTGACTGTCAGGCAGTTGGACGACAGAAAAATAAAACAGCACACACCGGAGCGATCTTGCGTTCGAAGTAATTAGTTCACACAACTGTTTTCTTTCTTTGACCAATATCAATCAGTCGTCACATCCGACTGTCAAGCGCGTCTGGTGTACACAACTGCTTATTGGTTGAGCAAGTTCTGGAAGCACTGTAGATCGTAGCGTATAATTGTTCTCCCGCCCAAAGTTGGTAGTAAGGTAAGGGTCAGGGACTGCCTGTTTCGATTTGGGTAGAAGAATTTGGTGTACACAGTATCTAAGGAGCAAAATGTCAAACAGGATGATTCTGGTGATGGACAAACGATTTTTTAAAAAAAATGTAAAAATGACCATAAACAGGCTTTTTAGACAGTTTATAAGAAAAATCTACGCACGGTTGGGTGCCATTTAAGTTAAAACCAACGTTGTCTCCCCTCTCCCACCCTTTCACACAGCAGAACCTCCAAAACTTCTGCAGGATATAGCCCTTATTTACTCCAATGCCACCCATGCAAAGCAATCCTGATGCTCCTCAACTATATATATGTCTAGTTGGACCTCACCATCTTATGTTGCACATCTCCCGTATGAAATTATATACTATCTCCTGCTCGATTTTGGCCATCCCTATAAACTTTTTGCCATGTATGCCGCAGGGTTACACTAACATTTTCTGTAAAGAACACTAAACGATTGGTACCTGGTAGTGCTCATCATTTCAACTATTCTGCCCCCTTTTCTAAAACCAGTTTCACCAATTCCTTTCACTTGGTATTCTATAACAAACAAACCAAAACCCACACAACCGGATGTTAAAAGCAGGTGACTGATCAGGTTTGATTTTTGCCACGGGTCAGTTGTTAGTCTTAGGCTCCTCTCTGTATGAAAGTATGCCTTGGATTAAGACCTTTCATCTAATGGGTACTTCTCTATAGTCGGTAAAAATAGAAGATTCTCAGGCCACACCTAACTATGGGCTTACACTTTTCCGGGAATAGCATACCTCTGAGGTTGGATCATCAAGAATAAGGGACATATGGGGCTTGAGGTAGCTTAGGAAACAGCCTGTGATGCACGTATTACATATTCGAAAGCAACCTAATCGAGCAAGTCTAACTTATGTTTGGTCATGGGCTGTTTATATTGGTTCATGTGTGGCTACTTAGCAGTGTGAACAAATATTTTCATGATAAAACTGAAAAAAGTATTCTAGAAATACACTCATTTGCAAATCAATGTGGTTTTCATGGGAGACTCAACTGAATCTCTCGTTTATGATATTCTACAGCTGAATGTGCTGCACACAGGTCGCCTCATTATTACGTTGGCACGATATTCGAGATATCGCAGTATATTTTCACAGGAGAAACTACTCACAATGTTGCTGAAATGAGTGTATTTCTCGAAAACAGTCCAATTTGGGTTCAAGTAGAACATAAGGTTGACGGAAACTCGGGGACTGCGTCTACCTGATGAGCCCCAAGAAAGGCGCAACCGGTCGTGGGCTGTCGAAGAGTTTTCAGCAACCTTGTGAGTAGTTTAGTTTCCTTTAAGAAATAAGAGGTATTTTTGTATTATCTTTCTACTCATAATCAACGTTCTTGGTCGCCCATATCGAATTACATTTAACAAAATTTTTTGGCGGTTAACTAGCATCTCAAAAAAGTGCAAAATCACACTCATTTAAAATCAGATCTTAGCAGGACGGGAATCATCAGTAAGTTTGACGGAATCCATGAGAAGAAAAAGCCTATGTTCGAGGCGATTATCAATTATTTTAGTCACTCATTTGCCAGATCGTCGCTATACACTAGATGACTGAGTTCCCAATGTTCCACAAGTTAGTGGTAACTACCCACTCTCCGCCAGTTTTTTTTCTATTCAGCAAAATTAGGCCAACACCAAAATTTCTATGTCTAATCCGTAACAGTAAACACTGAAATTATATATTTTTGTATTGTTTGGTGCTATTCAAATAGAGTCATGAATTCTATCAAGGCGCTTGCATCAAAACGGGGTGCGTATGTTGCTTTATGTTCTTTTTGCTCACAATTAGGAGCTCCCTTAATTGTCAGTTTATTACTCGAACGATTTACAATAAAATGAAATTCACTTGAATTTCAGACTAGAGGACCCCTTGGGAAGTCTGGATCTATTCGACAAATTACGACGAGGTTTGCTCACATCCGGTTTGTCGGTACAAGTGCCAAACGAACGGATTCGTTTGCTCTCTGGGGCGGAAGAGGGTCTGTTTGGATGGATTACAGTGAATAATATCCTGAATTTGATTACCACGGTAAGATGGTGCTCAAAGAGTTTTTAAGTTGCCAACATGCCAATGACATTTAAATGATACATTTTTTGATTCTCATTTTGGAGAGGAAAACAAAATCTAAATAAAAATTTACGCGTCAAACTATAGACTAGGTGTAATCAAGTTCAAAGCACAAACTTTAAGCCCTGAAGCACCTATTTAGTGAAGGTTTATGGGAATACGCGCCTAGAAATTCTTGCCTCCCGTACGCCAGATCATTTAAGACATAATTTTGTGCCCAGCGAATTCGACACTGCTGGATTCGTGAAAAATTTCTGGTTGGAGAGCAAATGCGTGCTTTTCTGAACTTAGGTAACCTGGCATAAATCCTAATTCAGAGCTGAAAACTTTAGCGTGAGGTTGCTCAAATTCTGTCACGCGTAATTGGCGACGCTGCTAAGAACATCATGAACCCTCCTTGAGACTATGTTCTCCTGTAAAGTTCCACTGATAGTGACAGAGAACGCGGTGAATTCATCCCGAGTTAGGGTAGCAATCTGAGAAGGTAACGGTGTTCGTTAATGAACTGTCTGATTATATTGACCAATATTGACCAAACACGGCACGAAGGAAGAAACATGGACCCCTAGTACGCAGCGAGCAAGGTCAGAAACTGATACGCTCGATGTGAACTAGGTGTTGGACATCGTACTAGATGGACACAAAGGGATAAAGAATGGCCCGCCTAACGTTGCATGGCTGGCTGCCTGTTACAGACACGTAGGTGTGACTTTACCAGGCAACGAGGTATCTAATGTGACAGTCGGCTGATTTCATGTCTGCAGAATTAAAGCGAAGTGCATCAGGAGCCGCCTTCGCAGTAACCTGTCATTTGTCCAAAAGAATATCCTTTGGTAGTGTATTTCGTCTATCAAACCTTCCGTTCTTGAGTACTTAATAAGGGGAAAAATTCCATTTTTAAAAATGTATTCGTGTTGAAGAATTTTTTGTATGATGTTGCTATCTCGGAAGAAAAGCCCAGAGATTTTGCTTTCAGACAATAGTGAGTATGTTGAGGTTTTTGGTGCCGCCGATAGCATTGTGTCGTAATCGTACGTAGTCGGTGGTTTAAATCGTTAATTTGAAGTAACAGTATTCTTCTTAGCTAACATTAGTGATCACCATGCAGTCTGCACACAGTTTAAAGGCGCTAGTGAACACCACAAGCGGAAAAAGATAATGAAGCATATCTTGATGTCAGTTGTTTTTGGCTCAGATGCTCTGGACAACTATTCACGATCCCACCGCGGGATCTGGTAAAAACAAAACTTATGAACCTTGGGAATGAAGATGCATCTATTTCTAAAAACATCACTCCAATGTAGGGTTCTCCATGACCGAGACTCATCAATCAGCACGACGTAGCACGATTTTCCATTCTGTTAATAGCTCTACAGGCCTCAAGCTCATTGGCTCCTTCAAGAAGACATATGAATGCCAACAGGTAGGGAAATTGCATCCCTAATTCCACTGAATATGTTGATCCAACAAATCTCTCTGATTGAAACTCGTCAGTGGCACAGGACAACTTGGAGGA